AAAAAAAACATATGACTATAATACAAAATAATATAGCATAATACTGATAAACAAAACTTTATTGTTTAATTTCCACCTAGTCAAAAGGTTCTAACATTTTGATGTGGTGTTTTTGACTTCAAGAATCTTTCAACTCAATCGGACATTATGTGAAAAACCGAAGAAAAGATGTCCAAGTTAAACACAGAAATATACCATTAGCCGTTAGAGCCTACTGGTAATTAACTTACCATCTTAAGGTATCTTCCCAATGAATGTGGCGGTGATTTGTACCCTACAAAAGAGAGTGACATATGCTATCCTGATGAATTAGTATCCTTATAGGCTTATACAATTTATAAACCAACCGAAGATTGTATTATTGGTAACCTTCACAATCATTATGCCATAGCCAAAAGATATTAAGGGTGAAGAGAAAAAGAAACTTAGAAACTTACATATCCTATGAGGTTGAGAGGATGCTCAGCATGATAGCAGCTCGTATTCTTCCAGCCACTTACAAGCTCCAGCTGCATAGCTTCCAAGCTAAATACATCAGTTTTGATTGAAACAAGACCATGGAAAGCAAATTCCCAGGACATATAACCACTAGAGAAATAATAAAAAATGTTTTTTCATTTATTCGAAGGAAAAAACACACACAATCAGCAAACACAGAAACACAAACACATAGCCATATTGTGTTGCCTTTGCTGATTAAAAAAAATAATAATAATAACTATTTTGTGCTTGGTTGCTGAGATAGTATGAATGCTTACCATGTTCCAACAACTCTATTGGTATTTGCTTCAGATTCATTGACTCCATATATTCTAGTCATCCCAAAATCAGATACTTTTGGGTTCATCTCATCATCAAGCAAAATATTGCTGGCCTTTAAATCTCTATGTATGACTCTCAATTTGGAATACTTATGAAGATAAAGGAGACTTTGAGCAATCCCTTCAATGATGATAAAGCGCCTCTTCCAATTCAATATTTTCTTCTTAACTGGATCTTTTGGCCAAAAAGAATGGCAAAATTTCAACAAGCAAGACAAGTCAAAGGCAATGGACACATCTCAAATGATTAAGCAGAAATTTTAGAGTTGTTAAGGAAAGCTTACCAAAGCGAAAGGAGTCCAAGCTTTTATTTGGCATATACTCATATATTGATATATTTTCTTCTCCTTGAATGCAAAAGCCTAGAAGCCTCACAAGATTAGTGCGCTGGAGCTTTGCAATCAGTACTGCTTCATTCTTTGAACTCCGTCAGTCCTTGTCCTGAACTTCCTGAGAGTCTCTTTATTGCTACTTCTTGCTCATCATATAATATTCCCTGAAATTATTTTGCTCTACTAACCCCTTTCTGACTTTCTTTTCTTTTTCTTTTTTTTTTTGTTTTTTTTTTTTCTTTCTGCTCAGCAAATGACCTGACTCATGATTTATTTTACCTTATAAACTAGTCGAAAGCCACCCACTCCAAGCTTAACAAAGGCCACGTGAAACCATTTAATTGGATCATTAATAAAACTAGACTAGAGTCAACTTTTATGCACTACAAGAAAAATGATTTTTAGTGACAGAAATTTGTGATGAATTTTGAAATCATCACCATAACTTATCACAATTATGACAGATCTAAAATATTAGTCACATATGCATACATATTTAATGATGAACAAAAAAATTAATCATAAAAAATATATTTCGGTACCGAAAAATATTCATAGAGATAAAATAAGCTTTTGTCGATAAAAATCATCACTATAATGCATTACAATTATGACAAAATTCTAATATTGGTCACCTAT